CACCTCCCTGTTAAGATCTGTTATGACTAGCCAGTTAATTGAAAGGATGCTTCCTCAGGGGTGTGGCCTGCTGTCAATATATGTGAACGCTGTGGAAGAGTTTGTTTGTTTTTTCTGGGTCTGGATCCTGCAGTTGGCTTGTCATCTAACCTTTAGTTCTTTGGTCTTGAGCCAGCAGCTTGCTGCATTGCCTGCTGATCTTGAGAGTCTTCATCAACCTGTTATTTTACCTGATGACTTTAGATTTATTTTCCTCTGTAGCCAAAAACCTGCCCTCTGACCTGTCAATTTTGGGTTGATCAGTTCCTCATCTCCATGCATCATGAAAAACCTCCAGCCTGACACTTGACACATGAACTTGACATTTGCTCACCTCTACAATTGTGTGACCCAGTCCCTTGATATAAACCTGTCTATATACACAATATAAGCTTCATAGACTTTGTTTCTCTAGAGAACCCAGCCTAAGAAAAATAGTATCTGTTGTTTGGGTTCTGTTATTTTCATACCTTGTAGGCTTTTATATTCCACTTTTTTTTCCCTAAATTTATTTGTTCAACTTAGTTGTTTATTTATTAAATAAAGTTGTTGAGAGAATACACAGAAAAATCATATGCCAATTCGATGAATTCTACATGTACATTTTAGTGACGTTGGTTATAATCCTCTAGTTGTGCAACCATTTTTACAATCCCCCACTCCCTCCCCCATTTCTGAGTTGTTCCTCTCTCATTGATATACACTCATTGCCCTCTAGTGTTCCTGTCTACTCCTTTGAGTTAAGATGCTCAATTCTTAAAGAAGCATAATACTCAAGGCAGACATTTTTACTCAAACCAAATTCCCTTCCATCGAGTTGACTCTGATTCATAGTGACCCTGTTGGACAGAATAGAACTGTTGCAGTGGGTTTCTGAGATGGTAACTCTTGAGGGGAGTAGAAAGCCTAACCTTTCTCCTGCAAAGAGGTTGGTGATTTCACCCTGCTGGCCTTGTGGTTCGCAGCCCAATGAGTAACCACTATGCCACCAGGGATTCACCAGTCTCCATAGCTCCAGAAAAGCTATTTCCTGAAAATTTGAAATTCTGCTTTGCAATTCCTCTCTTTTGATCAGAGTTCTTCTATGGAATCGTTGATCAACATGTTTAGTCATGGTAAATGGGCACCAACCACTTCTACCAGTCTCCTAACAAAGGAAGCAGTTGTTTATGGAAGCAATTAGCTACACATTCCATATCTTCCTTCTATTCTTGACTCTTCTTCTTCCACTGCTGCTCCAGATAAATAGCAATTGATTGCTGTGCCCTAGATGACTGCTTGCATACTTTTAAGGCCCTAAGCACTACACAACAAACCAGGAGGTAGAACAGGAGCACCACTAAACACATTAGGCCCAATTAACTGGAATGTCCCATGAAACCATGGTCCTAAACCTCCAAATCAACGAATCACATTCTGCAAAGTGTTCAGTTTTACATAAGCAGCTTCAGCTGCCTCTTTTTTGGGTTACTGTAAATATTTTACACAACTTTTGCAAAATCAACTTCTTACAGGTTACTTAATTGACACCAATTACAATAATTGATTGTGCAACCATACCCTTAATCAATGCAATTTTCCCCTCATTGTTAAACCCCTTTCTCCTCCTCCCTTCTGCCCCTGGTAACTACTAATAAACTTTAGACTCTATAATTTGCATTTCATGTAAGTCATAAGTGAGGTAATATAATATTTGTCCTTTTGTGATTGGCTTATTTTGCTCAGCATAATGTCTTCAAGCTCCATCCATATTATAGTGTGTGCCCAGACTTCATTTCTCCTCGTGGCTGAGAAGTTTCCCATTTTATGGATGTATCATATTTTGTTTATCCATTTATCTGGTGATGAGCACGTAGGCTATTTCCATCTTTTTGGCTATTGTAGATAGCGCTGCAATGGGCATTGGGTTACATCAATTTTTTGACTTCTGATTTCAAGTGTTTGGGGTACAATTATATCTATTGCTGGTGAGTGGATTCCCATTCCTATCATCAATCCCATTGGACAGAGTAGAAATGCTTCATAGGGTTTCCAATGCTATAAATCTTTAATGCATTAGAAGACAGCGTCAGAGTTCACCTACAGAGTTTGAACTGCTGACCTTTTGGTTTGCAGCCCAACACTTAGCCCATTGTACCCTCAGGATGCCTGGGAATGGATAGTTCATATTTTTAAAACTTTATTAGTGGTGTTTCCTGGGACATGGCAAAGCCCAGCAATATCTTTGTTGTTATTGTTAGTGCTGTCTGGTTGATTCTGACTCATTGAGTGTGGTAGTTACATAATTTCATGTCACCTTGTTAACTAGATTATAGGGGTGATTGTCAAGCAAGTCATAGCCAATGAGGCCTCTGCATGGCCTACTTCTGAGGATTCTGGCAACTCCTGTCTTCCTCCCTGAAGGTGGAACACAGTTTCTCTGCTTTGTCTTTCTGCTGACAAGCCACATGGAGCTAAGCTGGTGACAGCCAGAGCCGTGAAGCTGGTTGAGCCAAGTGGAGACCCACTCCAGGGCTGAGATGTTTCCACCTCCACTGGATCCATGACTTTCTACACACTGACCTGTGATCCTCCTGCATTCAGCATCATTGCATGTGTTGTGTGAACCTAAAGAGGAACTTATGGACTAGAATTGGACATATGGGCTAATATCAGACTTACAGACTAGATCTAGACTGGGCTGGGATGTTTTATCAATATATAATTACTCTTTATATAAAGCTCTTTCTTATACACCTGTTTTTCTAGTCAACTAGGACTAACACAGTGAGCCTAGTGCCTCAGAGAAGAACTGTGATCCATAGGGATTCCAAAGCTGTGGTCATTAAGACCAGCAGATCACCAGAACTATCTTCTGAGGCACCTCTGAGTGGATTCAAATTACCAACCATTTGGCTTAGTTGAATGCTTAACTGTGCCATGCTGGAACTCTACAGGCCCTGTTTTGGAGAATCCTGATGGAACACAGTCAAATCAAATGTCCACGGTTTTTATTTTCAAATGTAGTGCACAAATCCCACAATGGAACAGCACAGGTTGTTGGACTGCAATAATGTCTACCTATTTCTGTGGAAAGTGATGTGCATGGTAATGGGAGGGTCTTGACTTTTACCATCATTGCCATGATCCACGTTCCACATGAAAATGTGGAAGTCTTTCATTTGGGGCTTTCTCTAGGAACAGTTGATGGCCCGCAATATTTATAATGACCTTGGTCTAGTTAGATTCCTAGATAGCTTTGACAGATTTTACTTGATTACTAACCAAACAGTTCTATTTGGAAGCCACGCAGACACAACGTAGAAGGAAGACAAATTGATTTGTTTTGGTAAAGATTTACAACCTCTAAGACTTTCTGGGAAGTTCTGCTCTGTCCTAGAGGGCCGCTGTGAGTTGTAATTGACTCAGTGGCCATGAATTTGGTTTTGGAAGTTTCCAGGAGGAAATCTGAAAAGCTCCCCAGAGGTTGGTAATGACAGCTTCAGTATGTGGGGAGTTCACATTCCACAGGCCAGTCTTTGCTGCTAGATACAGTAAGTCGTTGATGGGGAATGGAGGGTTTGGGGGAATGGGTTGTATATGTATTTAGCTGCAACATGGGGAATCTTCCAAAAAGTTCATGGAAAATGCCATTATCTTTCGA